CCCCCCCCCCCGCACACGCTCCCTTCACTCCGCAAGCAGCGACTTAGGTGAGTCCGATCCTAGTGGGATTAGCTACAGATTTTACTGATTGAAAGAGAAATGAAATTGTGATAGTATGACTCGGAGCGGGCAGGTTGAGGTGACAGTGTAAGTTTTTCTGCGTGAAAAGAATGAATACATTTTTTTTTAGATGTGCGTTTGAGCAGGTGGGTTGTGAGTAGGTGTGCGCACACCCAACCCTTTTCTCCCTTGAAAGGAAAACCTTGAATTTTATGCCACTGCTTTGTGCCATGCGGTCCCTCTCACCCTGTCATCAAACTTTTCTCCTGCCTTTGTGACTGATTTAAAACCAGCTTTGCGTGGCGTGGAGTGTAGATCCTGTGCGTGTGAATGGGGCTTTGATGAAGATGTCTGGAGAGTCATAATGTGGTGCTGGCTGGTTTGTCAGGAGTGTGTAGTCACCGGGGTGTTGTTGTGTGGGTGGCTCAGGAACACAAAACCCGTCAAAAATACCAGTGATACCACACAGTGTTGCTGCAGTGCCTCTGTCAGGAGAACGCATGCGTTTTACTGTGGTCATTTTTCTTCACTGACATGAGTCAGTGCAGCCATACAGAGGGATACTCATGATGTAAAGCATGGAATGCCATTTAGGTAAAGACTGGAATGTTTTGATTCTGACTATGGGGGAAAATCATCAAGAATATGCTTTATGGACTCATGCTGGAGAATAAACCGGCCCGGCTGCTCCTCCAGCAAGCAGCAGAGATGGTGATGTCACTGTGAAGGCAGGCACCCTGTCTGAGACAATGGACTGTCCCACTTGGTTCTCCACTGGGGAAGGGTCACAGTTTAGCTCTGCCCATTAGTGCAGCAGATGGGTGTGAAACCTGGCCTTTGTCAGCTGAGGAGCACCCATTCTGCAGAAGTCCCACCCCTATCGGTGTCTGTCTTGAAACCCTGGTCAGCAGCAGCAGCACAGCCAGAGGTTAGCAGGGGATTGGACTGTCCTGCCACAAGGATGGGTGGCGGCAGCGTGCTTCCTTCTCTTCACTTTTAATGGCCTCTGTTGTGAGCATGGCCTTCTATACGGTAGTGCATAGGTAACATATTTTCCAATGATTATTTCTCGGTCAGTAAAATATTTGAAGACAGTGAAAGGCTTCCATTATAATTTCCCATTTTGTGAGGTCTTCAGTTATCTTATTTTGTCTGGCCAGCCATCCAAAGTCTAAAGACATTCAATATCACATTGATATAAAACAAATCCTCACACCAGAGAAGCCGGAACCAAAGAAAGGCTGATGCTTTTACTGTAAAAATGACCGGCATGATTATCAAAATAGTTGCTGATTTAAATATTTTACTGCATAATTGGTTTTTCAACTAATCATTTTAACTCTTTCAGAATTTAGCAAAACAGTAACACAATTTGTTGTGTTCATCTCAATTCAGTTCCACTGAAAGTCGATAAATGGCAGTAAATGCTGGACATTTGGGAGACCCTAAGCACAAATGCCTTTTAAAGAACACTGCATGAAGAAGGAGATGATGTCAGTGGAGCAGGGCTTTAAAGTGGGCACAGATAACTTCCTCTTTCATGTGGTTGGTGTTTGTATGGGTGTGTATCTGTTTACAATCCGAAATATGTGGTTGAAAAGGTTTTTGTGGTTTTTAAAGGCTGAGTTGTGTCATCAGCTGGAAGGTTAAGAGGAAGAGACCTTCCTTTTTAATGGGAAATCTGCTCCAGCCTTATGTGATGGACTGACCTAAGTGACTTATTGTTTGTCTGAGCAGGTGCATCATTTGTTTAATTTCTAAGAATCAAATCCCCACTATTTAAAAAAAAAAAAAGAAAAAAAAAGAGCCGTTTATTTTCAGTGATCAAAGCTTCAACTAAGATTCAAATCCAGAAATGCATTGATGATGCTTCTTAAACTTCCTTATAATACTGTAATCTCCACTTAAATTTTAAACGCTACTTTGAGAATCCATTATCTCTGCTGTTCGTTTACTACATCCAGAGCTAAGAGAGAAACAACTCGCATCATGTTACAAGTCACATAGATAATTTTGTACACAGAGCTTAGTATTAAATTGAGTACTATGATAGATTCTCTGATACCCATACTGAGGCTTTTATTCGAAAAACACAATTTCTCTTGACTTAACAAAGTACAACTTTAACCATGTCACTTTGAATACTTGTAAATGTACTAACGTACAGATTTTTAAACAACCCTACGATTGATTATGCCACCCATCCCTCGTGTGAGCCGTGCTGCTAGCAGGTAGCCCGGTTGTGAGTGACTGACCATATGGGTACAATATACATATAAACTTAAAAATACCACCTTTACAATTTTATTTATCACTGAGATCCCATGCTTATCACACTGGACACAAAAGGGCATAACTATTATTTTATGGTTATATATTGCTTCCTTGAGAAGTCAGGGCTTAATTGATTTTCAGATATTTAAGCCAGCAAGTTACCAAATGTTCTATGGAAGGATCATTTTAGAACCTCAGTCCTTGGACTTTATTGGATGCACATGTGCTAGTTAGTGATTCATCTGTGCAGACAAGTGAGACGAGGTGTTGGTAGTCAGAATATAGAAGAAGAGAGTGTGACCTGTCATTTATGCTACCAACCACGTGAGCCCCTGGATTGTGAGCTTCCTTAAAATAATGCCATCTTAATTGTACACTTTGCTTACAGCAGTGCATTTATGGATGTATCCTGGCAAATTATAAACCCAATAAATATTCAATATCCTTACAGTTTAAGAAGGTATGTTATACAATGTTTTGGTCTGTTTATCTAATCTTTGTCAACCCATTTATAATCCATCAGTCATCTTTATCCCATCCCTGTGTATAATCCTATTTTACCAGCCTAAATCTACGTTGTTACAATCCCTGATTTTGAGTTGAAAAGCTGATTTCATGATTATTTAAACCTGGCATTGAATGGGTTTATCTTACTTGGCATCAAATGAAATTTTGCCACAAGGCGTCACACCTCTAGCAGGTGCAAGGCTCAGTAAATTGTCTAAATTTTGAGTGCAGACTTTCATGCTATTTTTAATAGCTAAAGATTTGTGGTGCCAAATTATTCAGGCTGAAAGTCATCTTTTTTTTGAAAGCACAGCAAATGCACACACACACATTGTTTTTTGTAGTGGCCACTGTTGGAGACAAGACAGTCGATCACTGCTTTTTATCAAGGCGCATTGGGGTGTAGCCTGAAGGCCAGAACATTCAACACCAGTCCTTTAGTCCCACTAAAAACAGTTATTGGGTTCATTCATTGTCTCTCTGAATGCATCTGCTGTTACATTATGACAGATTTATATATCAAATTAAAGTCCACATATGTTTGGTGTCGTCGTCTTCTGCTTTTAAAATGTACTAAAAACTCAGTGGTTCATAATAATAGAGGTTAGTCATCAGAAATAGGAAGAAAGGCACTAGTAATTTCTTTTTAGCGACATCTGTTTGGCAAAATGATCATAAATGCACAAATCAGTCTGAGTAGTCAGACTTCTGTTGATATGGAGCTGATATTCCTGCCATTTCCTGTTATCTAGACAAATGAAAATGTATTATTGTATTACATGCATTTGTTTCCCTCCCCCAGACTCTCCGGTGCTGGTCACCACCACCACACATCTGTCACCACCATCACAACTTTCAGTCATCATGGAGCTAGACTTTGGACATTTTGACGAGCGAGACAAGGCTTCCCGTGCCCCGCGGGGCGGACGCATGAATGGACTCCCCAGCCCTACCCACAGCGCCCACTGCAGCTTCTACCGCACGCGCACTCTGCAGGCCCTCACCAATGAGAAGAAAGCAAAGAAGGTGCGCTTCTACCGCAACGGAGACCGCTACTTCAAGGGCATTGTGTACGCTGTGGCCACTGACCGATTTCGCACCTTTGACTCTCTCCTGGCCGACCTCACACGCTCACTCTCTGATCACATCAACTTGCCCCAGGGTGTCCGCTTTATCTTCACTATTGATGGCTCACGCAAGATCGCGTCCATGGATGAGCTAGAGGAAGGTAAGCATGTTTTAGCAGGACACACAAAGCACATGTTGGTTCTGATTTAGTGCATCTCTTTCTTGGCATGTTGACAGTAGTGAGATCAAGATTACACAAAAAGATTTACGGTTTCAGTTCAGTTTCTGTGCTGAGAAGATTTAGAAGAACATTTCTGGCTTTCTGGGATCTGAAGTGTTATCTATTCGGTCTAGACTCCTGTAATCTCTCATATGAAGTGTCAATTTCTAATCTGAAGGGTTACTTTGGGCAGTTGAGTGACACGGTCCACTTTTCTCAGCTGTTGGCACATTGTGTGTTCTGTTCTTTAAAAATGAAACTATTATTTTTTGACTGGAACTGTGACAAAATGCATTGGAAGTTTTTTTTTAAAGTCAGTTTTAAGCATCGACATTCACAGAAGCATTTCTTGTTTTATGCCATGTTACTCAATTTCTATTTCATACTGTAATTGTGTTTTGAAATATTCCCTGCTGATCTTCTGCCTTGGTCTTAGTTTTACGGTGTTTAGCTTGGCCTCCCTGAGGGGTTCGTGCTGAGCTGTAAAGGCAGCTCTCTACAGCTCAGCATGGGATAAATGATTCATTAACAGATGGCATTAGTATCCAATTCTTTAAAGAATCCTCCAGTCACAATTTGGGTGGGGGAGTTTTTGAGTTTGTACTGTCAGACATCTCCAACAGCATCTGCAGTAACAGTGGCTGGAAATGCCATTTAAAATAGCACATTTTTATTTAGAATGAGGGAAAGAAATATTTTTCTAATTAAGTAGCTAAAGTGTCTTAAATCATGACATTTTATGTTCTCTTTGCTTGGGATGTGAATGAGTTTCTGTTGTTTGATAGATGGGAGCATTGCAAATGATAGAAAGCTTCAGGAGCAGCCGCCATCATGGCTGTTAGTGTTACTGTGCGGTCTATACCTGGCATCAGTGGGCTGATCAGAACAAGAAGTGAACTTGTGTGCTCGCAGATTCCTGTTGTGAAAACTGGCAAAGATTTGGAAACATTGTTTGTGATTGAATGAAGTCTTTTCTTGGCACCAAACAAGATGGTCCCTGCCTGCACCAGCCTGCTTGGAGGAAAGGCGTACAGTACGTCAGTGAAACCTTTGCTCACATTCAACAGTATTGATGCTCAAGTGAATGTTTTTGAGTACAGTATTTGTTGAATACTGTTTGACCCTGGACATAATTGTTTTATACAATCAGATGTTTCTCATCTGGGTCTTGAAATGATTGTTGAATACAATTAACTGAGTCAACTGAGTGTACTTACTGGGAAACACAAGTTTTCTTTGAAGAAGTAGGATGAGGTGGGTGGCGTGAGCTTGTGGTAAAGCTAGAAAATAAAACTGCAGCTTAATGTGTCCAAGAGGAGATGATCATTTCTTCTGCTTAGGAAGGCTACAGTAAGAGTGAGTGTGACTGTCGTGAGTGCAGCAAAGAAGGGGCCGCACTGTGGGTGGTGGTGGGGCATTTCATTTGTGCTTCCTCTTGTGGTATGTAATTAATTGCTCAATCTTCTCCACACAGTGTAATCCAGTTTTGTGCCTTTGTCACAGTTTCTCCACATTTGGCCTAATTATTGCCTTCTGGATTTCCCTTGTTGCCAGGATTTCTCTTCCTCTCCACATCTCTTGCCTTTGCTGCCTTTTGTCTGTACTTTATCTCCTCGCCCTGTCTGAGCCCAAATGGCACAATCTGCTGTAAAATCTTGGTCAATTAAATGAAATGGTAAAAGAATGCTTGGTAGGCTCATACAATAGGCTTCGTCTGGAAGCATGTGTGTTGTACTGGAGGTCTTGCCAAGCCAAGGGATACGTGTTTTAAACTCCAAGCAGAATGAATCTCTGTCAGAGTGTTTGCTATATTATCACTGTCAATGTGCACTGTAAAGTGCAGGTATGTTAAAATGATCTGTGCTACATCATGTATTTGGGTGACACTTATTCATCATGGATTCTCTTAATGAGATGTTTTTAATTGTAAATATTGTTTAAACCCTAAAACGGTCCATGATGAAACTCATCAAAAATGAACAGATTCCCATTTATCTCACTGGTATAGATCCAACCTGATACTGTAGTTAATCCTGGCTACAGCTGCCAGTCATTGCAGTGGGGACAACTGGAGTTTAGTTTGTGGTCCTCGGAGGTTAAAAAACATTTGGAAAATCTCAATAGCAGCATGTTTTTCCAGGAGGAGTCTGGTTCCTCAAAGCAAGGCTGTGAACAGTTTTAATTCTCAGCAACTTCAGTGAAAGATGAGATCCAAAATGTGAAAGCCTAGAGAGAATTGCTCCCACAGGTCTAAACATTTCATAATTTAAGAACCTTTGTGTAGAAACCTCTGGGACTCTCAGGTGTCAGAGTTAAAGAGCTGAGTGGTTGCAACACCCTGACCCGGTTTTTCTTTGTCGTCACAGGGGAGAGCTATGTTTGTGCATCAGAGAACTTCTACAAGAAGGTCGACTACACTAAGAACGTAAACCCCAACTGGTCAGTGAATGTAAAGGCCTCAGCAAGCCAGAAGAACATGCAGTCCTTAGCTGCTAAGGCTGCCAGCGAGCCCAGAGAGACCAAGGACTTTGTTCGACCCAAGCTTGTGACAGTGATGCGTAGCGGCGTGAAGCCACGCAAAGCCGTGCGCATCCTCCTCAACAAGAAAACGGCACACTCCTTCGAGCAGGTGCTCACTGACATCACAGAGGCCATTAAACTTGAAAGTGGTGTGGTCAAGAGGATCTACACGCTTGATGGCAAACAGGTATGTCTCGCCTTCAGCCACTGCCCATCTGACTGTGCTCTCAGGAAAGACTTTACATCACATGAGCTTATCGGGTCATAATATACATATGAAAAACTCTGTATTAAACAAATGCAGATGGCTTTTTCATCTGCATTTGTTTAATGTGGAATAGAGGTAACTTGAATAAAGGTTGTACAGTATGTAAGCAAGGCTACACAATAGGAACATTTGTGGTCATGACTGAGGACAGTTCATCATTCATACATCCACCCACACCCAGGGAGTTATCGGGATCAAAGTGAAGCAGCAATGGCAATGCAAAAAAAAAAGAGAATAAAACAATACTAAAAGTATCTTCAGTGGTTTCATTTAACTTCATTCCACGGAAGATGGATGACAAAATGTTATTGTCTGCTGCTACCCTCTGTCAACAATGACACAGCAGCTCCATGAGAACCTTGAGCATCCATGAGAACAGTCTGTGTACACGGTGGCTCTTATTGTCTACAGGCTTTATTCTGGCGCACCATATTCTGCTGGCTTGCAGTTCAAGTCCTTACTGTCCTGTCCACCAGCCTTTGTTGTGGAGCCACTGGTATTTCAATCCATCTGTCACTGAAAAGCTCAAAAGTCTTGGGAAGTTCTGTCTGTCCAGCCACTATGGTAGTGTCAAAGGGCCAAGCCCTGTATAGTTGTCTAGTCATTTTATCCCCATTGTTACTTTATTTGGGATTGTGCATGCTATTAATTTAGTAAGATAGTGGGAAAATGCATTTAGAAAAGCTTTTATGTTAACATGCACACCAAAACCAATGCCAACTAAACTTAATTTACTCTAAGTTGCAGTCCTTGCAATATACTGATCTTAGAATAGCTCAAAGTTCTTCATTATTATTTTGTTGGACATATGAACATACTTTTTTAAATGGCTTGCTCAGACACATCTGAGGTTGGAAGGGATCAGCTTCTTGTTATCAGACCGTACCAGAGATGGAGAATCTGTCAAAGACATAATCACAACTCAATTCTTGGCTTTAATTTCTAATTTGAGAAGCAGCTGTAGATGCATTTAAAATACAGACATGTCTTAATTAAGTGACGGAAGCCACGGTATAACAAAGTGCCCTGAGTAACCTTCCTAACTCTGTAGTGTTTAGTAATAGGATCCTTTGGCTGTTGTAGCTAAACTGAATTCGGGGCACAGCAATCTGCAGAGGAAAAAAAAACATTTAGTTTCCACTGGCCAGCACTGGGCATTAAAGACTTGTACTGACATCAAATGTTCTTTATTTCAGAGGAAATACTGAAATGCATCTTAATATGTATTTGGCAGGCAGCTAACCGTTCTACTTTGAGTAGTTACAGTAGTGCTTTCTAATTTGCTTGAGAGATTTCTTGATGATGTTTAATAGTAAATAGCCGTGCATTTCTTGATGGTTTCACATTTTACAGTTGCATTCAGATTGTGAGAAATATACTAAACTGTTTGGCAGCAGTCATCTACTGTACAACAAAACCTCCAAACTGTTAATAAAGTATATTGATTTAACTTCATTTTCTCCAGTAACATGATCTTAACATGAAGATTAGTGGACTACACACAGATATCATTTAGCAATCCACTATGTAAACATTCAATAACTACAATAAAATGTATCTTGCAGATAGGTATAGGTACTGATCTACTTTTCCTCTGGATGATTATTTAAAAGCCAACACCTGTAACTGCAAAGTTCATGTATCTGTGATTCTAGAGTGTGTTGTGAATCACAGTCAATTAACAGAGGAGTAGAGAAGGAACAGGCGTGAAAGCATGTGTGGATATAAACGTGGACATCTGTTCCCTAAGTCCTCTCTTTGATATGGCTAATATTCAATAATCCTCATGTAGGGACCTTTTTCTTGTATTATTCATTACAGATGAACTGTGAATTGTGCCCTGCCGAGCTCATTTAGCTGTTGTACTTCTTTAGCTTTCTTTGTATTAAAAAAAAAAAAGGTCCAAATCACATAAATATATTTTGGAGGAGGGGAGGTGCTCTGAATTGATAGATGAGGGAATTAGATTGTAATGCTCTCTCCCCAGGGTGCAGTCTGCCTGCCCCTGGTCTTATGTTGGTTTTCCGACAAACACTGGAAATTGCAGACATCTGGTGGGATACTGCAGTCCTTGTTATATTTTATGTGTTTATGTTTGTGGTTAGGATTGGTCCCTCTTCTTGCCCCCAAGATATTTCTTATAACCATACATCTTTAACGATGTGTTTCCACAAGTGAATTTAACAGTGACTGTGGTAGCTACCCCAGTCAGAGCAGATTGATTCTGCTGACATCACTGTAGGTATAGATGAAATATTTCATTATTGGTCTACATTGATCTCTGACTCGGTCTTGTTGCAATGCACAGAAATGCTGGAATGCTGCACAGATTATTGCAGCGTCTTTGTGTGCAGAGGTACGGTGCAGCTGCTCTGTGGTGGAGGTGATATGGTAGAAGCAATATGGATGCAGTGCTTGCCCCTCCCCAGCTCTGCACCGACCCTCCTCTTCCCATTCCATTGCGATAGCTGCTGGGACCGGTTGCTAGGAGACCACATCCCAGGCACAAAGAGAGCCCAGCTGGTGTGGCCTGGTCTGTCAGTTACCACATCCTGTAGCGGGTGTGAGAGTTTACTATCTATGCAAGCCTGTGGTTTAAAAATCAGTTGTCATGATTTTCTTTTTACCTGTGTTTGTCACTGGAAGTGAAATGGTGGACGAGCACATGGATGTATACGTTTGATTCAGGTTTTTAAAATGGCTACTTTTCATGCATGATTTTCTTTTCTTTTTTTTAATTATTATTAGTGCTGCACAGACTTGAAAGACTGCCTGCCCGCCTGTCTTTGTCAGTGAACAGAATCACTCCCATTTTCCCCTCAAATGCTGGTGCTTTTCATTTCAATCGAAAAGGGTGGGGCCAGCAGATTCAGGAACCATTTTCCTTTCTTGGAGCAAATTAGGATCATTTTATTTTGCTGATGGGGAGTAATCATTTTTTGATTTGCCCTCACTGCTTCAGAAGGCTACATTAAATCAGACAGGGTTTTTATTTTTTTTTTTAATTGCTGGCAGGCATTTTGTATTCATTCCTCTTTGATAGAGGTTTCTGCATAGTTCCGATTTGCATTTAAGATACGCTGCTTATTCATCTGAATTCAACTTGGAGAAGCTCTTTAATGGATGCCAAATCCACACAGCATTTGTGAAATCTGCTGAAGGTCCATTGTGTTGCTGTGTGATTGGTTGTTATGAACAAGTCTGCAGTGTTGCGGAGGACTCTTTTATGGCTCTGAGTGCCCATTATTCTGACCTTGTTTAGAATTAAATTCTCCATTCAAATCCTTTTCTATTAAAATCTATTTGTTAACAAAGAGCCACAGAAGACAAGAAATAGATGCTGCAGGCACAAGGTTACACTGTTATTGTCAGGGAAATTTGCTTTGAGTTGATAACTTATGGTAAAATTATTCACTGAATAAGAGAGGGATACAGGCATGGGTTCAGGGCTTCTTAATGACTAAAATACATGGTGCTAAAAGGAAAGAGAAGCCTGCTTTCCTCTGGTTATCAGTGCTCTTGCAGTCTGCCTGCTCTTTGTGGTGCTGCAGCAGTTGTCATGGCAATAAGCTCTGCTGTGATGGATTCAGTTTGTGACAATGGCTGTAATGCGCTGAGTATGCTCTTTACATTGGGTCTTAACCTACCCGCTCTCTCTTTCTTACCCATCAGCACAGCTCACTGTCAGATTTCACTTGCATACACACACACACACACACACACACACACACACACACACACACACACACACATATAGACAGACAGACATTGTGGAGCAGACAGTCAGGCTGACAGAGAGGCGTGGTCCCCACGATGAAGCATCTTGAGCAGACATGGAAGCCTATGTGGCCCTCGATCCTGCACAAACACCACATCAACAAGTGAGCATGGCCTGGGGGGAACAGGAGGAAGCACAGTTTAACAATGCTACGACCACATCGGTCAGCCAAATGGAAAGCCTGCTTCCTCAGGGTTGGGGAGGGGTGGGGTTAAAACAACATCAGGCACCAGCTGGTCCCCATGACTGTGAAGTTATTGCTGCCTATTTGGTTAATTTGTGCTCCAAATGTATCCGGACACTGTGCTGGTGCACCAAGGTCACAGACGGGTCAGAAAGGCAGCTGGTAAAGTCATCATTACAGTGGGACAAAGTCGGTGTTGATGGCAAAAAAACTGCTTTTTTAAATATTTTGATTTGCCACATCTGATTTTTATACTGTATCCATCAATTGAGCTGTTATTTCAAAAGCAAACAACTTTGATTTTTAATTTCAGTCTTTGTTTTCTCTATAAAACACTGAACCAAGATGGAGACAATGTTTTGGAGGAATGTTCCACCCAGTGCTGGTATTGATCAGGCCTGTGTCTATAGTGAAGGAAATGGTGTGAGAGTTTCCCCACGGGTTACAATTCAAGGTCTTACACACACTTTTTCAGCCTTTCTTTTTATACTTCAGTCTTCAGTCATAGTGAGACTACAGAATTTGCTCACACTTGTTTTCTTATTTGCCATTTTACTTTAACTCAAGCTTTAGTTGTATTACATCCTGTCCCCTGCTGTTTAGATGTTTTGGACTGTTTTGTCCAAATTGTGACTTGTGACCAACTCTCTTCTCAGCTACCAGAGCAGAATTGTAGAGGGCTACATCTGTGACCTGTGGGTGATTGGTCAGAGATGGTCTAAAAAGACAATTTAGTTGCTGTAGTTGGTGGGTCTTTGCGTAGCTGGTGGTACTTGTTTGGGGGGGGTCATTTGGTCCTGACAGCTGGTGAGGAGGAGATTAGGGCTGGGCTTGGTCAGGGGCACCTGGAGTCTGAAAGGAGCCAGTTTTTCAGAAAATCCTACCTGCCTTCCTTCAATAAACATATAAAAAGACATATACCCACTGACTTTAGTGCATGCATTTCATGTGTAATGTGTCAGGGCTTGTGATCATTTTTAAACTGAATATCATATTTCTAGGCACTGTTGCCAGGAGGGTCTGGTTGACACTAACCTTATCAAACTGATAGAGGATGCTTCTTAACCTGTGTCCAAATGTTTCTAAGCCGGCCTGCTTGTTCCTCACCACAGCCATGTTTTTAAAGGGACTCAACATTTTATTTGTGATCTGATTGCATGCACAGCAAAGCGGTTTTTCACAAGTGAACTGTAGACATATGAAAATGTGCACAGGGTTACATAGCACTATTAACTCATGTCAGAGGAAAAAACCTTTAATTAGTAGATCTTGCACATGCAGTTCAGGTTTTTGGGATTGCAGCAGTGTCTGTGGGACACTAGATACACACTGTGTATTATTTGTGGTCTTGATGATGCAATGAGGCCTGGTCAGAGACCTGCACTGTGACCCCTGTTGGGAATTGGATTAACAGAATTACACAGGATTCAGTGTTTTTGCTGAGGACTCTTAAGGACATTTTTCCTGTCACCTAGCTTCTAAATATCCTTGAAATGTAGCCGTGACATAGTGTACAACTGATATTTTTGAATTAAGTACAGTAAGTGGCAAAGCTCTTGGCCACATTGGAATAGCTTTTTGCTGTGAAAGCTTGTGAGCCAGAGACATTATCATTCACTGTGTGAGTCATTTTGCTTCTGTTTCAGTCCCAGATTGAACAGAGAACAAAGTTTCCTTCCAGCTTTCCACTCATTTCCAGTGTTTAATTCTATGCAACACATTTGTTTGGATCCTCTCTTGGGTCAGTAAGTCTGTTATGAAATCAGAAACCAACAGGGAGGACAGAATCTTTCAAATCAAATGGAGATTTTGTTAAGTGAGATTAAGGTAGCAGTCTTCTGGATAAACACTTTTATCCTTTTAATCAGCTCTTAAAACCCATTAAAACAGGGATCAGCATCTACACAGCTCATTTCCATCTCTTCTTCTTCACCTGACCTCTTATTGCTTCCATCTATAGTGAGTGTCAGGTGCCCTAGTTGCTGCACAACAATTTAACCTAATGACAGTAACATGTATCTAATCTCTTGATAATGGACAAATATGAAAGCCCAAATGTGCATCTTGTAAATTAACGGAAAAACCTGTTGGACTCTGACCCACTGAGTCAAAGCACCATCTCTGTACGTTAGCGAGTTTCCGCAAGCCTTGTATTCAGGGAATTTTGTGGGACACAGAGGAGGGTACAGCTGCTGGATGCCACGCCACCGAGTCACCACCGCACGCTTTTAGCTTGTCTAGTAGGAAAGAGAATCAACATGGCAGCTGCTGGGGTGGGGTGTTCCCAAATTATCTGCAGCTCATAGTTTGGGTGAATATCACAAAGGAAACCATGTTTATCTTGGAAACTGTCCTAACAAAGGCTAATATTTTGGGTCCAAAGTCTAAGAGCATGTGTTTCTAGAGAATGAGTCCCACAGAGCCAATCATCTGTAGTTCAATTAGTTTGTATGTCTTCATCCAATAGTTTACATGTCAAAGGAGATATTTCATCAGGGGTTGAAATGCAAATTGAACATGAGACTAAAAAAAAATGGCCAAGAGGAAATGCAGCTTTTTGCTTGAATGGCTTTTAATAGGCATGCCTGGGCTGGTAGCAGGGCCTGCATAATGGAGGAGCAGAGGACAAGGTGTGGCCCAAAGACATCTGTCCACTAAGTAGGCCATATTGTGTCAACAGCTGCTATAGAGTGAAAAGTCCCTGGGGAAGGAAGTTGTATCATTTAAACATTACAGCAAAGACATTACATCTTCCTCTCAGTGTGGGCTTTTTTATGCCTTTGTGTTAATGTAGCTACAGACATGTTAACATGACAAGTAAACACAAAAGCAGCGTTTTACTGACATAACTGACTAAATCCTTTGGTTGGCAGACAACCATGACCTTATTGTTACTCAGTGAATTGATCCACATAAGGCTGTGTGTTCACACTATGCACCTATAATTGTAATCAGCATTTAGCCCTCATATCTGTGAGTAAATCTTCCATGGCAGCTTTAGGTCTTAGAGATGGCAGTGTTGGTCTGCCTGGCAGTCCACTGGGGTTCAGACTGAAAAATCTCATCAGATGAATTACCTTAAAGGTTTGTGCAGACATTCATGGTCCCCCTGATGATGAATCCCAGTGACTTTGGTAATCTCCTGACTTCTCATCTAACTCAGGAGACATTTGCAGCTTCTTGTGAAATATATCCACAACAATTTTAATTTTAATTGGTACAATATTTTATTACACAACTAATGGCATTCTCATATTTCATTTAGCGCCAGTACACTAAAACGAAGATGGCAAATACTGTAAACATATGTGCTTAGCACCAGCATGTCAGTGTCACCGTGAGGATGTTTGTATTAGATGTGAGCTGAAAGCACATCTGTGCCTACTGTAGGTACAGCTTCACAGAGGTGCTAGCATGGTTGTAGTCATGTTTTGATAACAGGGGTCTTCTGGTTTCACAGGTTACCTGCCTTCAGGATTTCTTTGGTGATGACGATGTTTTCATTGCATGTGGACCAGAGAAATTCCGGTACGCCCAGGATGACTTCTCTCTGGATGAGAACGGTGAGCTTAACCACTTTAGTCTGTATTTTACATCATAAAATACAATAACTATAGGCTAGTAACAACATTAAGTGTACACACAACATTTTATCAGTGTTGTGCAATATTACGTTATTACCCCTGCCAAGTGCAGTGATAATGTTTTTGCTGCCGTTTGTTGGTTTGCTTGTTAACAGGATAACTCAAAGTAATGAACGGATTCTGACTTTTTTTTTTTTTTGGGCAGGGAGGATATAGCCCAATCTGTCTGTGTTTGTCCTGAAACTTTAAGCACTGTATGACTGTGCCAGTTTCCTTTCCCAATATTCTGGACTCATTGTATTACAAAGACTTTCTTAAATACTCAAATACCATCTCATCTGTTTAGTAAATATAATGTTGAGAGATAAACCTGATTATTAAATATCTAGAATAGGGATTTTAGAAAAATAAGGAAAAGGATTTAATGGAAAAAATAAACATGATCAGAGTGAGTGCCAAGTGTTTCCTGAGGTGTCATTAGCAACTCTTAAAATTTGTAATACTAGATTTTTCTTTAATGTAAAAATGTTATATTCACTTACAAAGCTGTGTGCTTGTATATTGTGAGGAGAAAAATTATTTATGAGAGAGAGAGTCCAACAAAGAGAAGGAGACAGGGAGAGAAGTCTGTTATCTGCAGCTGGCACCAAGGACCAGAACAGGCCAAGAGGAAGAGCCATTAATCTGTGCACTGACAGGTTTAGGCCAGCTGATCTGCTGGTGCTGATAATGCTGAGAAGTCAAAGAGAGAAAATGTAAAACCAGTCCTCTTGCTGAGTGTCTCTGGTCCCCACAGACATAAAACCCTTCTCTTTTTTTCCCAAAAAGATTCAACATCTTGTAAATGTCTTTTAATCTTAACACAGCACTGATGGAGATGTGATTTGTCATCGTGCTCTCTTCATCCTTTCTCTTCTCTTGAGTTCCTTGTTAAATCTGGGCAGCATGGAGATCCCAGTTCCCTTAGAATGAACTGGGACCTTTTCTTTTCATTGTACTCCTCCCATGGAACCAAAGCTAGATGGTTTCATTTGGTCTATAATAACCTTGGGGTAATGGCTGTGAGTCTCGAGCATCAGACATCACTGAGTCGGCCTGAGTGGAAGAGGAGAGCACCCCGTCAGTGATACACTACCCTACTACAAACCCTCAACACTCTGGGTGATTTATGGCCAAATCCTGACTCTTTTTTTTAAAGCATTTCTCCCTGACAGTTGTTATTGTGAAGGCTTTAAGGAGTTAAATACAAGAGTATGCAGATGGAGAGGAACACAAGTGTAATTGGAGCTCTGTGTATGCAGTGACAGCATCAGCTGAAGCTGAGAAAGCCCTGAGTCTGGCTACACAGATTGCTATTTCGAGACAACTGAGTCAACTAGACAAGCTGCCGGTCTGAAGGATTGTCAGACATGATGGCACACCTTGAAAACGGTATCACATGAATATACTTCTGTATCTAGTAGCATGTGAAGGTTAAGATAGAGAAGAGAGACATGGTGTGATCCCAGGAGATGGAGGGAGGACAGAGTATAATTAGCATCAAAAGAGGAAAAGTGGGAGGGGGTGGCCTGGCAGTACAAACAGAGGGGAAGATAGCGAGGGAGGAATAGCAGTGTCTGGAGTCTACTCTGATTAACACAGTGACCCAGAATTTAATGCATTCATTGTGATTTATATAGTCTGTCATTGCTCTACATTTAAATTAATATAAAGGCAACAGACATCACTTTTCAATCACAGCCAGTGAATCTAGTAATATAAACCAATTTCTGAATTGTATAAATTACAGGCGCCAGTGGTCGTAATGTTATGGCTGGTTGGTGTACAGGTATATAAAATAGTCCAAAATTGGCAGGGTTTCAATCGAAATCACAAACTATCTGATGGAAAAAATGAACAAGATTTAAAAATCTGATGACATTTGTTGCCCGCTTTTCAGAACGTTTTGGTTCCCTGTACTGTGGACACAGTTCGGTCAGTATTGAGGCTTGATTTACAATATTAGTTGCATGAACTAATGATGTCTAGAGCCCTCAACCAAGCTGCTCATTGTCTTTTAAAATGTAAACACTTTAAAATGAGATTATGTATACATAAAAACACATCCATTCTAGTTGATGCACATGCACAATGTTGCCCTACAACTGTTCTCAAAGCTTGAGTGCTCTCACAGAGCTGGGTGTGAGGTTCTTGACAGAAGAGATGTGTTGACATTCAGCAGAGAACGGTTCCTTCCTTTTGTGTTATTTTATGCTTCTGTTCACTTGCTGTATAATGTTTGTGCTGTGGGGACACATTCTCATATTACATTTTATGTCCTTTAGTCAATGTCAAGTCAGCATGCCGTCATTCAGACACATTTTTATTATTGCAGAAGTAAAAGATTTGATTCAGAAAAGTACATGTGCAGCTGTTCCAGCCATTTGCCCATTTCACATTCTCAGGATAGCATTGGAGTCAACATCATGATTCGGTCAGTTTATTCAAATTACTGTACAACAAAAACACACTTTCACTTACCACTAATGTTATCTGGCCACATATTATCTATGTAGAGCTTTATTTAGTTTTATTTAATGTTGTTGTTACCCTGATTTCAGACATTCTGATTGGAGTTTACTCCTATTTGGACAGGGCTGCACTACCAAACATGAAAACGTGTAGCTCACTCATTCATTTTGGTGTTGAAAACAGTGGTGATTGTCTTTGTGCTTTTTTTTTTTTTTTTTGACAGAATGCAGGGTGATGAAGGGACCCAAAGCTCAGCGTGGTTCAGTAAAGAGTCCTGGTCCGATCAAGCGCAGCAAATCTCCTGCTGAGTCAAGTGAGAGCCCTACATGTAACACTTCCTGCTTGCATTAGAAGAGAATCTGTCCTCACCCTGACCTATAAACCAAAACAAAGAGATGGTGGGGAAGTAGAACTCGGTCAGCTCTGTTGCTGTAATTTAACCCAAGATTTACAAAATATGATGGAAAAGTAATATGATATCAGCTTCAGGGCTTGTGGTGGACAAAACTGAATCCCAACCAGATCCAAACATCAGCTCCTTAATCTCAGTGCAACACCTCAAGAAACTCTAATGCTAGTTTACTGGGGAACATCTGATTGAGTGTAATGTTTCCAGTGCAGATTACATTGTTTTAGTCATGAATAAAACATTAAAAATAAACAGTGTAAACAGCCTTGAGCTGATTGTCTCGCAAGCAGGGACTTGAGCACATAATAGCCAGGAAGCAATAGAACATAGAGACACTGGTCCTCACTTGAATATTTTATATTAAACATTGTGCTGCACCTCTTTGTGTGCTGTGTGTTTATACAGTATAGGTGCACTTCTCCGGTCTAATTGGTTAATAGCTGCTATGGTCTATTGACCAACAGTAGCTGAGCATGTCCCTTGACCCGCAGACTAATGCTCTCCATCGTGTCATATCAGTCTAAAATGTCCAGAGAAGTTGGCCTCCTTACCAGCACTTTGTGTTGGGGTGCACTGGGTTTAATGAGTTGAATGCATTGAAAGCGTGTTTGTCATGGTGTCGGGGTGGAAGTCCACAGTGACACACAGTGTTCTTCAGTTGGACATCACAGCACTGGGATGGGTTTTTGTACAGAGGATGACTAAAATTTCTCACATGTAGAGACAGAACATAGACCGTATGGGCAGCTTTGCTGTACAGTATATAGAGAAGAGGTGCCCCACAGACGAGTGTTTGGTCTACTAATAAAACAGCTGCACTCTGTTTATACTGGTGTTAAGATCCCAAGACAAATGGAGGTATAATTTGTATGTTTTGAGGTGGGATTGTCCTTTTTTTTTAAAGTGTTCAAACCGTTTAATTCTACAGTTAAAACTTTATCTGGCTGAGTGGTTAAATGAAGCCAGTGGCATTAGGTTGTTTAACAACGAACTTTAGTCCAAGCTGTGTTGACAACACTCACTGGCTAAAATTTACTCTGGCCATCTGGCTCATAGTCCTTTCAGTTCTTTTTATCCCTTATAGACAAAAACTCTTTTTAACCCACTTAAAACACATTACTACATCACCTCACACTGCTCTTGGACTGAAACAATGTTCTGCCCAGAGTGAATCCTAGCAACGTGGCAGGATGCACAGCGAGTGAATACAGTGCCATGTAACAAACAGCTCATCGGCCCACTACGCTGTAGCCAGCTGTGGCCACAGTTCAGGAATGGCTTTTCTTTAGAGCCAAGGGAAGAGGTTCGGGCCTCTCTTACACACTTTCTGATCCACCTACTATTTGCCTATTTTTCTCCTTTTCTGCTCCTTCTCTTTTCTGCTCTGTGGGCTCTCTCAGCCAACGGGACAGGCTCCAGCAGCCAGATCTCCACCCCGATTTCCAAGCATTCCCCCACCTCCACCCCCACCAGTCCAGGCCTCAACAATAAGCAGAAGGTACCCGGGCCTCTCTTCCTCTCTTGCCCTTTCATCTTTTCTTCAGCTCCATCATTTTATGCTCTGTACTGTATTCAAACATGCCCCCCTCCCTCCTCCATTTCTCCAGGATCTCTACCTGCCTTTATCTCTGGATGATGACGATTCTCTCGGTGAATCAATGTAGACGCTCCTCCTCCAGCCTGCCTCCTTTTTTGGGCCTGAAACACAGAAGTTTTTGTACCTCTGCTGCTTTCCACCTTCACTCACAGTGCCACCTGTTGTCTAGGAGAGCCACTCTCTCTTTTTAAGGCTTTAGCCACCGGGGCTATGGCACCATTTGCTGCTTGAGAATAAAATCTTTTTTAAAAATCAGTTCTATACATGTTGTAACACTGAGCTCACTAATTTTCATAAATGTTTCTGTATGGAGGTTAGCCACAATTTTTCAAAAGGGCGCACGGTTCACTTACCCACTGATTTCACGGTGTAAAAATTTCACTTTGCTCTCAGACATTTTGTTAAAAGAAGCACTGTTACTTGAATACTTCAGTCACAGAATTCCAAGCAGCAAATGGCTATTTTTAGGGGTGTTAATCAGAACTGACTCAACTTTTGTATCACTTGTATTCATGTTCTTTCTCCATGTCCTGTCCTTTCTGCTCTGTGGTTAATGGTGTGAAAGGTTCCTTGTCACAGGCCGTTTGCTAAGCCAGATAGTCTTTCAGACCTGCTGTAAATACTGTGTATAGCTATCCATCACAACATCTCTGTCGAATCTCCATTGCTGTGCTTCCATAACCAACATTTGCTCAACATTATACAGGGTATGGTCAAAGTAAAAGAAGCAGCCAAAATGAAGTCCCCACCACAGAGGGTGAGGATGCATGGGATGCAGCTACTGACTAAAGTGGATTATTGTGAGAAGCCAATGCCTCCTCAATGAGAATTCATATTCCCAACTGAATATACTGAGAAATGATTAAACTTAATTGTGTAGAAAGATAGTTTAAACTAGCATAAACACAGAGGCATCAAGATCCACATGTTGGCAGTAATTAGAATTCCAGCCCAATCGGACGTGAGGCGAAGAACAAGCGTTCCACACTGAGGGGAATCTTTATTTTGGGGCTTCCTCTATTTTGACCCTCTACATAAAGTAGACTAGGCTATACATGGTACATACCCTCTGTGTTAGCTATTTTCACAGACTGCAGTGCATGATATTGATAGATGGTTGTGAAACGTTGGGCGTGTGAAAAGCTGATTTGAAGGACCTAATGGCGCATAAAAACAACCAAAGGACAAATTAGGCCCCCCTTCTTTATTAAAAGCCAACAGAAATTCAGTATGCAGTTTTAAGCCGGTTGATCACTGCTTCACCAGAACTAGTGGTGATGGTTTGTTGTACAATTGTGTGAATTTGTAATGGTAAATAAATAAAGGTCTTAAAGCCAAAGTATGATTTTTAGACCAAGAATTATGGGAAGTGGGAATATGCGACTTTATGGAGGAAGAACACCTGGAGGTTTATGCATGTTACTTTTAACAAATCATAACATCAAGATTAAATAATCTGAGGCAGGTAGTTATTATCAGATCGCTAAACAGTAATGGGATTTTTCCTCTTTTGCATGGCTCGGCATAGTTCTCAGATACAGGGGAGCTTAAAAAAATAGCAGTTGTCTAATCTGTGTGGGTTTTACATTTTTATAAAGTTAATTTATATTAAGGGTACTTGTCTAGGATTTTTTTTTTCTAGTTCTAACTTGTTCTCATCTATAAACACTAGTGCTTTTTTCAAACCTCTGTGTGCAGCTTTCGATTGCCATTTTTCTGTTTCTGCAGTAACAACTTAGAAATCTACTGAAAAGAGTTTGCTCCAATTTTGCAGGGAATCAACCCTGAGAATGTCTAAACAGGAGACACTGAAGCACAAAACGGGGAGCTACTCTTTCACCACCACAACAACACACACACACTTTACTGTCCACTTGCCGGTATTACAATAGGTGACCACAATTCATTTTTGTGTATTGATTAAAAAAAATGCTGCACTTGTAGCATCCTTGAGAAGAATATCTATGCATTTGGATTCAACAAAATAATTTAAATCTTTTTTTTTGCACAATAATTTAACTAAACTAAATCTGACATTTCCATGCAGTTATTCCATTTTGTAGAGATGTGAGAGTTGTATGTCCTAGGAGTGATCTGGTGCCTGCCCTCTGGATAAGCTTTGAAAAGTTTATTAGCCACTTAAAGCAAGCCATCACTGAGCTATTTGGTGCTGTGAACTACACCTTTCTCCTGCAGGGAGTGCTGTCACACCAGCACAGCAGCTAAGGATATCAGCTAATCCAACAGCGGGGGCATCTCTTATAAAAAAAGAAAAAAAAAATCCCATTTGTTGTCATTTTTCCAGTTTTGTATAACCTTACATGCTAGTAAAGCTCTTGTTTCCTTGATTTTCATTTACTGCATATTACAGCACTACAACATATTGAACAGTAACAGGAAATGCTGGTTGTCTTGTGTGAAACAGCTGCCACGTGTGACGGATGATATGAATTCATCACCAACAGTCATGCCCTTTTTTAAGATCGTTTTTGATAAATGAAATCGGACACCGAAGGTTTGTTTCTACGTTAACAGCTTTTTGTAAAACATCAAGTGTCTTGAATGAGGAGGCCTCCCAGCGCACCTGGTTTTGTAGAGTTACAGGAAACTTGTGGTGTAAATACGCTCCCTTCCTGTTCTCTTTCATATGTATGCTTTTCTGATAGAACGGACGACTTTTTGTCATGGAAATTTACAATGTCCTTTTTAGTGGTACTTTGCAATGTCACAGTGGCTTGTTTCAGTGCTTCATTCAATGTTTTAATGGGTATCCTTTTGCAATTAAAAATGTTGTATTTCACCTCTCTGGTCTCCACTTTGTAGCTTAATTTCTGATCCAAGTCAAACACAGTTTAGTCCAGGGGTGGCTGCTCTCAGTCCTCGAGGGCCGCTGTCCTACCTGCTGCTGGTTACCTGGATGGTTGCCTGGATCAGGTGTGTTCAGTCAATCCGAAGCTAGAAGTTACCATCTCACTTTCTTTCTTCGCTCCGCCTTAATCTAAGATGGTATCTTCCAGCTTCGGATTGACTGAACACACCTGATCCAGGTAATCAGCAGTAGTAGGACAGGGGTAGCTGGGAAAACAAGCAAGGCAGCGGCCCTCAGACCAGGATCGGCCACCCCTGGTTTAGTCCCACTGTATCTCTGAATTGCAGCAGCAGTACTTTGCTGCCTATTTTCTGTTCACCAATAAAACCACAATTCAGGTTTTTGCCAGTAAAGTCGGAAAATAATGGTGCATGTGTGTGCACATTGTATATGAGCAATACTAATACCAACCACTTCGTGTATCTATGAATTTACTGAGTCATATAAATAGATCTTTTTTTGTGAATTAAAAATAGTAATGTGTTCATGTGCATCTTGCTACAGAATCATCTCCATTACCATGGGAACAGGAAACCTCTCTCACATCATCAGTGGCGACCAGACATAAAAATCCCAGCTGAACTATTAACACTTTTTTTTTTTTTTTTTTTTTTTTTTTTATAACCTAGAATGATCATGTTAAAGTATTTTGTGTCTATATGATCAAAAATCCTAACCACTGGCAAGCTAATTTAAACCATGTTTTATATTTGTAAGGTGCTTGTAGAGTCCACAAAAATGTAGAGGTCTCATTTTATCAAGTTTTAATTAATAGAATGTGCTGTTTGGGCCCAATTAACTATATGTATTTCAATGACCGCTCCAGTTAATGGTGTACAAATGTAAACAATTAGTATAAATGTAATTAAATTGCCTTAGAGCTTGATTTTGGAAACTAGTTGACCTCATGGTTCTGTAGTTATAGTCAGCATCACAGATGCTGAGAACAGTTTCTATGTTCATTACTTTTACAGCCCCTCAGTCATCCCTACATTGTACCTAAGATGTGGAGTATCAGTCTTGCTCATCCATAATGATCACATGGCACTGTTTTATTTTACAGGTCTGTAAACTCCAGCTTATTTTTAAATGATCTCCAAAGACGTTGCCTGGAAGAAACTATATAATTTGGTAGTAATTACAGGTAAAATTTCTTTCAGTTATTTCTAAATGCTAAACTAGCACAAACACAAGGCTTTCTTTAGAGGACAGAAGATAAGCTACACATCCAAAGTGTGAAATTTGTCCAGTTCAAGCATAAATGAAGAATACCATTTCAAATAAGTGGCGGAACTAAGAAAAACATCACTCTCAGAGCTTTGTCTCCATTTTTTGTAGTTAAAACCAAACTACCTGGAAACCTTGAAGAGATTATTAGGAAATAGCTGACCTGTAAAATAATTGTTACCGATCACATATATAACATGCTAAGCACGAATTCAGATATGAAGCCTTAGTTTGCATTCATAACTGCTGAAATCTACTGTAGTGATGCATTATTGTAAAATAAAATATTAAGTATGCCACATCTTAATATAAGTTTGTTGCAGCACCTCCTTTCTAGACTGTGACTGAACATTTTTTCTGTTGCTTTGTCATGTTTTTTAGTGCCTCTTCCTGTCATTGCTATAAAATTTGACAGAATCTGACTCACACACACCAGTGTAGCTGTGGCGGCCTCTGCTGCGTGAGCCAAGTATGGACATAATAAGGCTGTTTTCATCAGAACACATAAAGACACACATTTACCTTGTCGTCATCAGTGTGTGAATGTTGTGTGTGAATGGGTGAATGGTGTATCATCTCTGTAAAGCGCTTTGGCCAGTGCAACACACTGTGAGAAAGCGCTATATAAAATACAGTCCATTTACCATTTTTACCATTTACCTTTATGAATGTCCCGCCATCTGCTGGTTGTAATGTGTGTGTATTGTCATTTGCCATCTCTTCTTAATAATAGGCGGTCAAATCTGAGCAAGTGAAACTACTGCACTTAAACTTTGAATTCCATTAGAATCGACTCTACTGTAATCAGCTCTGGTACTGTGCCCCAAAGACAAACAGAGACTAATAAATGCTGTTATCTCTCACTATCTCATACTGTAAATGTACTATGAAAAGACTGTAAATGTTTAACCCAGGCCCTGACAGTCAAATGCCTGGCTTTACTGGCACGATTTGAAGCTGTCTAAGGTTAAACTTACTTATAAATTAAAACAATTTAAACCATGAACAGCAAAATGTCTTTTTGTTTGGTAATTGCCCTTTAAAGTTTGCACAACTCAAACACAGACATTTAGTTTAGACAGACTGAAATATTAAAGACCATTCAAAACAAGCATGCAATTTAGAAATGTAATGAGAAAATATAATGAGAAACTGTTCAATTCAATCTAATAGTAAAAGAACAGCTCTGGTACAAAGGCTTAATAGAAATGTTCTTTTTAATAATTCGTACTTGTAGTTGCCTAAGGTCTGGTCCCCTATAATCAATATTTATCTCTAATCTCTGATGACATTATGATGATGAGAACACAAGGTATTATAAAAGGAACTTTGATACATTTCAGCATTTAGATTTCTTCAGGAAGTTACAACACATGACAAACATTCCAAGTGAAACATATTTAAGTAGCACTAATGAACAACAGGCAAAGTTGTTTAGTCATCAAGGCATCACTGGCCTAGTAAGACAGCTAGCAGTTCCCTCCTTCTCACTGGAAATGGGGGAGGGGATAAAAAACAAATATATATATATATAGTATATACACATATAATATCAGGCTAAATGCCAGAATGCATCAAAGTTACTTTTTAAATACCTTGTTCACTGAACATGTCAATTTAATTAAAGGCATTTTAACTTTTTTTTAAAGTTATTGTTATTGTTTATTGATCTCCAAAGCTTTGATTACCAAAGAGCACCGCCTTTTTCTCAGACTACGTGTCTGACTTCAGAGCATTTATTTCAATTCGCTCTCCTTTCCTCTCCTTTTTACTTGATGAAAATTCTCTGATCTTCACTTCTGTTTCTTTGGATCAGTTTCAGGTTCACGTTTTGAAGACGTTAAGGGTTAAAGTTCACAACCTTCTGGCTTTGAGAGAAATTGTTCCATGTTCATAAATATTGGCTGGGCCGTCTGCAGCCTTCTAGGACATCCTCTTCTCATAAATTATACACACAGTATTTGTTATATATCGCCATAGTGTGTCTTGGGGCAAAGAGGGGGTTTTAGAAAGATGAATGGGGAGTAGTCTGTGTGGGACAGATCTCTGCTGGAGGATGAGCAGAAGGCTGTCAGTGGTTACTTTTGTAACAACACAATGAAAAGTCAAAGTCTCTGTTTACAGCCCCTTTGGCCGACAATACTTTGGACACAGTGTGCAATGCAATGTTACAATAACTGTACAACTTGTGGAGCCTTAAAGAATAAGGCCAATCATTTTCTATATCAACAGTATATTTAACACTCCCCATACAGAGACTAACGCCAACAATAATTTGCCTCTCTGGATTAACTTCTTCATCTGTGCCAAACACCTCCACTGATGTTCAAAAACAATTAAAAACACATCAGGGAAACACACTGCTGCACTGAATGACATTGTGCATGGGCTCTTGACTCTTGCTGATATCAGATTGTAAAAAGTTACGGCCATTTGGAGCCCTTGGGGCATCGTATAAAAAACATATATCAAGGTCTGGTGCTTTATAATGAGGAAACATCAACCAGCACAGCGGTTTGTTTCCCTGATGTGTTTTTAATTGCTTTTGAACAACAGTGGAGGTTTACGGCACAGATGAATAAGATAACTGGGACCTGGACCAACAGACTGACATAAATTAATCATGAGTAGACAGAGATAATTGCTAACTTTAGTCTCTCTATGGGCAGTGTTGAAAATACTATTAATATAGAAAATGACCAACCTTATGCTTTAAGATAGCTTTAGAGGAAGGGATACAAAGTCCATCAAATCTTTATTTCAGTGTGCCTCATCAGTTTATTAAATAGTTTGTGCATAAGTATATATGTAGCCTTGATATTTGTCCTGAGAATAATGCTGAATAAAAACTAAAATGTCCAACACAGTTTTCCTCGAAGAGACTTTAATGCACTCTGTAAACGTCAGAAAAGCTTTTACATCTTGACATGTATTTAACCAAATAACATTTTTGGTGTGATGGTTTTATGAAATGAAAGGTCAGGAGGTCACCTCAGTGATTTATCCTCTGGAAAATGTCATATCCATGGCACATTTCACAAAAATCTGGCTAGTAGTTGATTTTTTTTTCTGTACCGACAGAATCCAGGGTACTGGCAGTACTATGGTTGGACCCCGGTGAGTGGACCAAACAAGGAGGTTCAAAATGTTCAATATTAAATAAATACATAAATTGGACATTATTAAATGAATTATAATACACTTGTGCAAGATATATTCTGAAGTAATTTAAGAAAATCATATCACTTTAACAGTTTTATAATCATTTTCATTCATTTATTTACTTCTTGTGATCTTTTGCTCATATCTTTAACTCTGCATCGTCTTTGCTCACATCATAACTAATCTGATGTATTTATTTTTATTTTAGATACGTCTTAGGTTTCTTCTATGGCCTGTCTAGTTAACCTCTGTAGGGAGCCATCTTATTACTGCTGGATCACAACATTCTTTTTGAGCTGCCTCTCTTGCCCCCACTTTCAAAGCTTCAGTTATCCACACAAGGCTTTCATTTGCCTGAGGGAGTCAAAATGCCTCTTGTGCTCCTTACAGTTCATCCAGGACACTGAGTCCCTGCCAGTTTGTCTTATTAGTTCTCTTTCAGTATTGTACATGGCTTATTTGTGATTTTTGTTCATTTTGACTGACCTGAGGTTAACCAGAAGATTTTTTTTCATTACTGAGGCAAAATAAACCACATGAGATGGACGAGACAAAATATCCAGTACCTACAGGTAAGGTGAGATTTAGATTGCAGTAACTGTTTGTGACTGAACTGATTCTGTACAGGACAAGTCTTTACCTGTACAGTATCAGCTTTAGCTTGCTGGGTGGTGGGAATGAAGGTGTTCAGTTTCAGTCTTCTCTTCCCTCCCTTCTGTTTGTAATCAGCGTATCAGCCCTTTACATAACTTGCCAGACCAGCTTTCCAACAATCTTTGTGTTCAAATGAATGAATTGGGGGAAGTCCTTGTGGCCAAAAGGCAAAACTGAAGAAAATGAATCTGGATCTGAGGAAGGTGTCACAGGCTGTTGTTTAATGGGATGGACTTTGGATGGAAATATGGGATTGATTTGAACACATAACAAAGGAGCTTGGCTGGACGTTGAATTCGTTTGATCACCGTAAGGATCAGAGGGCTCACCACACACGAGTGTTGCTTTCAAGATTGTAAGTGCTACAAGCTTACACTTAGTTTCTAGCATTTAAACATGCCTGAAATCTGATCGTTTCTGTTGTCCAGTTTGATCTGTTGTGCTAGTTTTCTTGCTGCATTTCTAATGTCACCACTGTGTACCAGCATGCATAATGAAACTGTCTTGAATATAAACAGCTGTTTGCAAATAAGAGCACATATGGCTAAATCCTGTAAACAGTCATTTACAGTGTCAGAAATAGGCGCGTGCTGCACTTATGGCCCACTAAAGAAGAACAAATAACCAACCAAAAATAACCTGCATGACCACATAAGCCAGGACCACTCAAACAGTAACGCTTGGCACAGACTCGCAATCTTGTTTAACTCCTTATCCGCAGCCACAGAATGATTTACTGTCCTCATCAAATGAGGTGGTAGCTATAATGTGTGAGGATATAACACTCT